GTGGTAATTTTACAAGTACATGCAAGTACTGAATTTACCGAATATAAAACAATAAAATTCACTGATATGCAGATGTTTTCTAAGTACCCCTCATGGTTATGGCTAAGATAAAGAAACAGTATAGACACTAGAAGAATCATGTTAAGCACTTCTTTCTATTTTTGAGTTGGAATGCAGATAAATATCTACTTGCTAAGCAGTCTTTCTTCTTACATATTTGCATTTGTGTCATTTTTTTGACGAAATCAATAACTGATTATTGCAAAGTTATGACTCCTTGATACCTTAAAAGAAAAAAATGTATTTGTAGACTTACTAGATGCCTACATTAAAAGGTCTCTCCTGATGTCTCACTATAGAAATACGTATATTTTTTTGTGTGCCAGTTATGAAACATAAGGAGTGAGAGGGAGTAGGGTCATGAAAATACTTTATTATACAAGGACTTATAACTATAAAAACTGAAAGTTGTTCCAGTTGGAGGCTTGGAAATTATGATAAAGTACTATATATGGTAAGTTTAAGAGAATCAACTTCACTGCCATATAACAATTGTGTTTTGTCTGCCCTTAAATATTTGCCTTCTCAGCATTTAATATTTGTTGCTTTATTATAAATATTGCATTTTCATGTAGGTATACTTTTTGTTTTTTAATGCCATGTCCTTTTAAGACATAGAAGATCTTGGGTCTCTACACTCACCTTTTCTTTAATATGTGAATTGCCATGATTTGTTGGGAAAGATAGGTGAGAGGTTTCCATTGTCTTCATGTTTTTAAATTCTAAGTAGTCTTTCTCCAATTACCTGCCAACCAATGCTAGGTAGTAGAGTTTACCCTGCTATTTAACTCTTAGCTTGGGTGGACAAAAGATGGATTTTTGCCTTTCGTAAGCACATTTTTGCAAAGTAAACATAACTGACTTAGATGGAATTTGAACTCAGATTATCAGTTTCATTTCCCATACTGTTAACCATTACACAATCTGTGCATGTCCTCATTATGTAAGTCCTCAAAATAATGAGACAAAACTTTCTGGGTAGGCTTTAATTGAGAAAAAACTATTACCTATTTATGTTATTATTTTGCAGCCAAGATTATACTGTGTGGGTGTTTTCTTTCAACTGAAAAAAAAATGTTTTCTGTGTTTTGAATATTATCAGACTATTTTGGTATTGATTTGATGTTTTTTATGCCATTGCCTACATTTATTTATTACTACTTTTCATTATTTAAATTAAAATATTAATAATAAGTTCTGTACTTCATTGAAGCTAATTATCTGATTTTAAGAACAGAAATCCTTTTGTTATCTGATTTTTACATAAGCTGTATTAGATTATCTTTTTCTTTAATTAATGATATACAATTATTTAAACTAATCCATCAAGCATTTTTATGTAGAATAGAAAATGTCTCTTCATCCTTTGTAAAATAGATTTCAATCCTTTTGGTTATATCAAGATTTATAAAAATATATAATTGATCATTTTTTTTAATATTTTGAATTCTTTTTTTTATTTACCCCAATATTGGTAAAACTTTTACTGATAGATGATACTTAGAAAAATGACAAGATATGGAAATGTCGTTTAAGTGACCTTTAAATAACAGAAACTTCAGTTTTGATGGACAACCATTAAGTGAAGCTATTTGCTTTGTCTAACACAGATTTGTATTTGTTCTCAGTTACTAACAAAACCAAATCCACAAACATTTAATGCCTGAAATATGGTTTAAAAAGAAAAGCCAAAATACTGTGCTAACCTTCTTTTTTTTTTTTTTTCTTTTTAGACATTTCTCTGTTTATGCCAGTAATTTAATTATCTTTGCCTCTATCTTGTTATTTGGATAGACAATTTTGAAGGTGGTTATCCTGCTTGAAATAGATGTTCTTTACTTATGGTATAATGCATTGAAATCAAGATTTCTTCAGAATGTTTATGATTTCAACAATTATTGAGGCACAAATAGTAAAACAAGATATTGCTTGAAAATTGTAAACGTTTTTATCACATTTTTTTTTTTAACTTAAGGCTTTGGTTGATGGTAGAAATCAAACTGAGTTGATAAACTGTTGAGATCTTGTGATAAATTATCTAAATCTAAAAGACCCCAATGTTTTGTGCTATTCACATGTAGGAACCCATTTGCAATGTGAAAAGTGTGTGTAGGTGAGTGCAATCTTTATAATACCATCAGCTGAGGAATATTCATGAGTTTGGTATTTATTTAAGGAATTGCTTGAAGTTTCTGCTTGTATTTGCATCACAGAATTGATCTGTTTGCAAGAACAGTTCTTTAATCTCAAAATGTTAGTGAAAAATACCTTATTTATCTCACATTTGGAAAACTAAAGAGATATCCAAGAGTTTGATTCTGATTAAAGAGTTGTTTTTCAATTGCCATTTGTTTTTATAGCAAAATGTTTAACATTATATTAGAAATAAGATTGAAAATAACACTGAATCATATTCACACTAAGCTTTCTTGAAGACCCTTTTTACCAAGTATATAGAAGAAAAAGATACGGTTAGTCTATTGATTAACAGCCTTTTTCTATTAAAAAACAAATGCAACTTCTTTGTTGTCTGGAGGTGTGTATAATAGACAAGGTACAGGCACTCTACCTAAGTTACCAAACATTGACATGCTGTTAACCTAATCTCCCTTTATATGTGAAATCACTGTTAGCAGAACAAAATCTTAATATCAATCAATGTTCAATTAATCCAGGTCTATGTAAGGTAGTTGTGTTTTGTGAATTCTTACAAGAGAGAATGATGGAGAGAATGTAATTATGTATATTTATATATATATATACATATGTATGTATACAAGTGTAATAGCTGACACTTGACCATGTAGTGAAAGAAGGTACATTTGTTTTCAAAGTAGCAAGGACAGTTTAGGCATGTAAGGTTTTCAGCTAGTCGTGCAAATGTATTTCATCTCTGAGTATGTTATGATGACCACAACATAGGAGAACAGAGAAAATTAATTTATTGATTATGGTTTTGGTTGATTTTTCATCTGTACATATACATATCTATAGCTCTGCTTTGAACAGCTTGCTTGGCTCTGTATGCTTTCTGATTGGTTGGTTGAACTATCTATTTTTAGAAATGGTAACATTTTGGTCTCCTTGTTATTATTTGTTTATTTCTTTTCTTGGTTGTGAAAACATTCTGATTTGTTGGTTGAACTATGGCTTTGTTTGCATGGTGATTTTTATTATCTATTTTTAGAAATGGTGAAATTTTGGTCTCCTTGTTATTGATTTATTTATCAATCACCACATCACATATGTTTCCATGTCTACTTGATTAACTGTTCCTTAGTGATCTTTCCAGTGTCTGAAAAAGAGTGAAATCTCTGCACCTATTGACAGTTATAGCCTATTAATGAAGAGTGGGTAAAGGGTTCTGGCAGTATCTTGACTTGTAGAAATTTACATTAGGTCCAAAGCAATCTTCATAAAAGACATTGCTGTTTAATTGTAATTAGTTGGTTGATGATCTAGTAAAAGTAGATTTCACCACAGAAATGCGTAGTTATTCATTGAAGAAGAAAATTTGAAAATTTCATTGTTTCAAAACATTCTTTTATGTTTTTGGATACAACTTTATTCATTACAAATGTTGGATATTTATGTTGTATTTTCATTCAAATGTACAAAATGGTTAAACCATTTTGACATGCTATTCTTCTGGAATAATAATGCAATATTCAAAGACCGAAAAGGGCTTTAAATATGTAAACATATTTCTCAACTTGAGCTTTTTTTTTTCTTATTTTTGTTTTATATTGCAAAACACAGATGTTTTTAGTATCAAAAACTGTAACCATAAGCAAATGTTAGATTTATTTGTAAAGAATGTTGGCAAATTTTGAACTGGTCATGAAAATGGGGCTGAAGAAATTTAATTAAAAAATAAAAGTAACTTTTCTAAGTAAAAATAAAAGTAACTTTTCTAAGTAAAAAATAAAAGTAACTTTTCTAAGTAAGTCAAATGTAAATAATGTTATAGAAATGATGCCTCAAGAAGGCTTAGTAGTTCTTTGTGTTGATCAAATCATCATGTCTACTTGATTAATATACTTTCAATCAATAAATCCACAATTTGACACATCAAAGAAGTCTTGGATTTATTTAATTTACCTACATTGCTTTTCTGCAGGTTTCCCAACTTTTTGAAGGTAAATTTTATGAATTGAGGTTGAACATTTTACTATGAATTATTTTTGACTATGTTTATATTTATGTCTCATTATAATATTAAGTAGTTTCACTTTTAAAATCAATAATTATATTTTTTCTTATTGTAACTTTCAAAAATATCTCCTCACAAAAGTTATACCTTTCTTTAACTGTTTTGAAATGAAGTGATTCTTACTTGGCTATCTTTGTTTAGCAGCATATTAATGTCATAATTTTCGTGGGAGCATTAGTAATTTCTTTTACAAAAATGTATTGCTGGTAATTTTTTTTTTTTTTAAATGTATTACTGGTAATTATTTTACTATGAAAATGTTTTATACTATCATATAGTGTTTTGACCCCAGTTTCACTATACGCCCAGACCTTGTACCCTAACAGGTGATAACACCCCATTGACTTGGAATAAATATATTTAATCTATACATTGAAAGATAATATTCTAATGAGTTAACTCTTCTCAACTAAATATAAACAGATAATGTTTTTGGTTCATGTGATTATATAAGAAATATTTGTATTGTTGCTAGGGAGATATAAATGCATGTAAATGTTAATTATTTGATATTGAATTCTAACAATTAAAAAATAAAAAAAAATAACTATTATTTTGTCCAAGTGTAAAATCTATGTAGGTGTATTTTTGCTGTAGTGACTTAATCGGTTGAAAGTATCTGGATTATGTATCAAGTGATTTTAGATCAATTCAATAAAGTTAGTTTTGGATTGGTTCATTCATCAGTAAGATAACATATGCCAATGTGTATTGAACTCTATCTGCTATGACCTCCACCAGTTGTTCTAAGCATTCTTTTCTTTCTTCTTATACTCTCAGAAGTAATTCTTTACTGCTGAATGAAACTCACTGCCAAGATTTATTAATAAAAAATCCAAGCTAGCAAAATCTATCACATTCTCCTCTATGTCTGTCTCTCTTGCCAAACAACCAGATTAACTGGTACCTTTTTGATATATGCAGTAGCAAAAATGATTATCTTTAACTTCTCTTTCCAATAAATTTCTAATGATATTTTTTCTAGAATTTTAGAAATATACTCTAAAGTATTAAAGATATTTTTACAATCCAGAAATCTTGTCTTATGTCCATTTAAAAAATTGGAAGGTCTTTTTGTCTATATATTTTTATTCTAGAACTCTTTTATTAACTTTCTGCATTTAAGTCAAGTTGGTTAAAAGAAAATGAATCCTAACCCTAACAATTTCATTTGTACAATGTTAAAATAATTTCCCTCTCTCTCTCCCTCTACACCCCTCTCTCCCACTCTATCTTCCTCTCTCTACCTCTACATCTTTCTTTCACACTCTATCTTCCTCTATCCCCCCACACACCCCTCTCTCAATGGTGCTAATTGTCAAATCAATAGATGGGGGAAAATGAAGGATGCTAGATTATGTAGAAAAAAACAGAACTTATTAATCTATCATTTCTGGTTCACTCAATTCAATAACTATTATAATTGATTTTTCTGCCTAATCTTTCCTTTATTGATCTCTATTTTTTTGTATAAGCTTGATTCTCAGCTTACAAGATTATTATCTCACATATGTTTCATGTTATTAATAAATGTTTGAAAACATTCATTCCATTCTCCATGCTTCTTTTAGAATCACTAAGTTCTTTACATTCATATTATAGGATTTCTGATCAGTGCAGATTCCTCTACACACGCATCCTCAAATCTGGACAGTCACATTAGGCAAGCAATTGTCTTATGTCCATGAGGATTATTCAACTAGTTAATCTGTAGAAATTATTACCCAAGAAATTGGTAGAATGTTTCAATATTCTCACCTGAAAACACCAGCATAATTATTTGACCGTTATGCTTTATTATAAACACCCCTTTTTTACTTTTTTTTTAGAATTTTTTTTATTGATCAATGTTTTTTAACAATTTTCCTTCTCACACAAAAAATACATGACTACATAAACACACACATATTGCTAATGACATTGAGAAATGTTTTTGTTTTAGCTTTAACCAATTTCAACAGTTCATCTTTGTCATTCAAAATATCTTATAGTAAATTCAGTTCTTATGTCTATAAATGACCAATTAGAAATAACATAAAAATATATACAGATTTTATATACTCTCACATCCAGCAGAAGTTAAATTATTTATTCAGCTTTAGATATATTTTTATTTGTATTTTATTGACTCCAGAAAAAACTCACACGCAATGTAGATATTTCTCAAAAATTAATTTAATGACTAGAATAACTTTAATATTGATGAATATTTACTATTTATGACAAACTGTCTTGAATATAAAGAAACAAATTATTGTATTCAATCCATGTCATTTTAAGGTAAATTACATGCTACATGATTCTAAAAAGTCTAATAGTTTATGGTTATCTTAGCAGTTGAAAATGTAAAGATCTCCATTTACTCAGTGACTAGTGAAGGAATATCAAACTGTTATTATAAGTGAACAAGATTATCAAACTGTTATTATATTGTATCATGACAATTGCAGTAGCTGGTAAAGTGTGTGACACAAATGTAAAAAATTCTGTGAAATTTGCTTATTTGTGATTTGATGAAAATCTCAGTGATTTGATCTTATTAATTCTTGGCAGTAGATAATAATTAAAATGCCTACTATTTGTTATGACAAATGTAAATATTTACATGGCTTCATCTAAACACGTCAGCTTAACATTCAAGATAATTCATTCATATTTTATCAAAGAAATATCTTATTTGAATTCATTTAAAAGTTATATATTTTATGAAACTAATTTTGAATATTTACAAGTATTCATTATGATAAAGATTCATACTGTAATTTCATATATTGTGTTTTTATTTTTAATATAAAGCTGGGTTGAAAAGTTCATTGGCTGACTATGAAGGAGCAATGCTAGAGCTGTGAAATCTTGCATGCATTCATTTCATCTCTTCTTATTAATAACTGCATTGTTACTTTCCAGTTAAACTGATATGTGATTGTTCAAAGAAGACTGTATTTCCTGTTAGTCAAAAAAGTCATCAACAGCATATATGATATCATCATCCCAGCCAAGTGTTTTTTCATGTTGGGCAATAGATGATAGTCAAATAAGGAGAATAGGGAGGGTGATCAACAGGGTTCAAAGCCACAGTCATACACAGCAGTCATTGAAACCAAGGAATTGTGTGCTGGAGCATTGTCCTGATGAAACAAGACCCATTTTGTCAGTTTTCCTAGGCATTTGGTCCTGATAGCTTTTTGTAAGTAACTCGGCAAGTTGGCATAGGACTCTCCATTGATGGTGTAGCCCTTTTGAAGATAGTCTTTAAACTCAATGTCTCGTAAGGCCATCACCTTCCCTGCAGATGAAATGACCTTGGTCTTTTTCAGAGCAGGTGAGGAGGTGTGTTTTCATTGCATGGATTATCTCTTTGTCTCTGGCACAAAGTTATGAATCCAACAATCACTCTTAGTTAGGAAACATTCAAGAAAACCATCTGGATCTGCCTTAAACAATGTCTGATTTTTCCATGAGGTGATCAGCCTTGTCCACTTTTAATCAGGTGTCAGAAAACATGGCCAAGCAGAAATCTTTGATATGCCAAATTCATTGTGCAGAATATTCACAACTCTCTCACAGGATATGTTAATCACATTGGCTATTTGATTTATAGTCAATTGTCTGTCATCCATCACCATGTTTAATTGGTAGTGAGAGTTGCAATATATCCAGACGTGGGTCATCTTCAAGATGATTCCCTTCCCCTCCTAAATTCATCTGTCCACTTTTGCACTGTTGCTAAACATGGAGAGTCATTACCTAATGTATTAACCATATCAGCTTAAATGGGGCTAAACCCTTTTTTCAGCTTGATAACAAACACCATAATGCCAAATTTTCAAGAGAATTTATTACTTATTACTTTTGAAGTGTTCTTTGAACAGTCAAATGTCAGTTTATCTGGAATCAATGAAGTTATTAATAAGAAGAAACAATGCAGTTATTAAAAAGAAGAGTTGAAATTAATGCATACAAGATTTCACATCTCTAGCATCAATTCTTTCATAGTCAGCCTATGAACTTTTCAGCCCAGCCTCGTACCTGGAAAGAAACAATGCAGTTATTAATAAGGAGAGTTGAAATTAATGCATGCAAGATTTCACATCTCGAGCATCAATTCCTTCATAGTCAACTTTTCAGCCCACCCTAATATATTATATGGTTATATTGTAAATTTTCAATTATGTTTTCAATATTGATTATTAATCTAAGGGAATTATCAGAAACTTTGAAAATTAAAATAATCTTTCAAAATCTCTTAATTTTTTCATTTAAATTTACTTTTACTTTATTTTTTCAATGGGCTAGACTTTTCTTATATTTTAAAATAGATGCCAAAAATATTTCATATCTAAATTGAACATTGTAAATTTGATGGGAAAATTGAAGGAATGGAAAATAAAAATGTTTACATCTCTTTTAAAATAACTTTAATCTGATGTAATTTCATTTTTTTTTTCTCTCCAGATCTTTAACAAGAAATGAAAACACTGTAACCATTATGTTTAAAGCATTTACCATATATATATATATATATATATATATATATAAAATGACCTTTAAATCCCCCAAATCACCCTTAAAAATTGTTTGTCATTAGGCTAACCTCAGCCTCAGTGCGATAACCAGTAATGTATGTGAAAAGATTCACATTATCAAATAAACTGATAATAAAAGTAATAAACCATTTCTACCTTATATATTACTGACATAACTTCATAATAAATTGCCTATTTGAAGAATAATTCCATATCAATGAAATCAACTTGTATCCTTGCAAGCTCAGCAGAGAAAATGTAAACATCGAGTTATGACAGCGTTCACAAGAATGAAATGTACTATTATTGTACATTATCATACTGTTGTTAGCGGTATCTTGTGATTGTCAATGAAGTATAAGTAAATGGCCATTAGTACACCAGGCTGTTTGTAAATTTTTAGATATAGGAAAAGAAGAGGAAGAAGAAAAAGAATCAGTATTTGCAAGAGATCACAAAATGAAATGTAAGCAAAACAATAGTTTCCCTTTTAGGGGACGTGTGTAGGAAAAACATGATATAGAATCGGTTTTGCTATTTCATTTATTTTAAATTTCTAAGGATACAGTAAGTAATATTTCCAATAGCATCATCTTTACATAATCAATAAGCAGTTGTCTTATACTACAGATATAGGATAAATTCATGAAAATTTGCTACTTTGTCTTATCTAAAGATTGTCTTATATGTAGAAATATACAGTAATTAGATTTTTTTATAATATCCCCCCTGATAGCTATTGATTTCTGAATGTCTCAACCCAAAGTAAATAATATACAATTTAAATCTTACTGCTTGTCATAAAATGATTCTGTTATTTGAACAATTTTTGTGTTTATATATTTCTTCTTTTTCTTCTTTGAAATCTTATTTACTTCTGACATATCTTTTACTTTTATTGAACATTGGGCAAAACTGATTGCATTTTTGTTCATTGACTCAAACCTGAACATTTTTACCTTTCTTCCTGAATTTGTGATAAGACAAATTATAAGTTTCAATTTAAAATCTTCTTTGGTACAATAATAACTAGTGGAAAAGTACTTATTTGTGTCTTGTCATTTTTATTTTAGCACGAACAGTGTCTGAAGAGTGGTCATCCAGTGGTGACTCAAAAGATGATGAGGAACGAGAGAGACGGTCACCTCGAGAAAAGGATGGGAAAGACAAAGACAAGGACAGTGATGGTCAGTAAAAATTGCTCTCTTGTTTATTTTTATGTTATCAAGCCAAATAATTCAAAAAGAAATTTGTTCAGCTGTATTCTTATTTCTGTTAAAACTAACAGTCTTCCTACCTTTTGAAAAATTTCTAAAATATTTTTACTGTAAATTTTCAAGGATACGTTTAGTCAAATACTTCTGACTTGTATTTTATACCTGATTCCCCATTCGAACAGCTTCTTCCCACAAAGCACTACTCTGTGGAACTGACTCACAAAAATATGTTTCTCGGATCACTACAATCTTAACCTGTTCAAGTCTAGGGTTAACTGTTATCTTCCTCTCCTATCAATATAAACTGCTTCAATGTAACTCTCTGCATTGAGTGGCCCCTGGGCCTTGTACAGAGTAAACCTTACTGTAAAAAAAAAACAAAAAAACTGGCATTTGTATTTATCTTGGAGGGACTGCTGAAATGGTCTCACTTCCCAAAATCTGACTAAATCACCAAATCTCATACTTTTTTAGAAGGATTTCTTGAGAACTTTTCAGCACCTCTTCCTAGAAGAGTGTCTGAACTGACTTTGCAAAATATTCATATTTTAAATTTACACAAAGAGACTAGAGAAGTGAATTTCTGCTGTAAAAGAAGCCATGAGTTTATAAGATCAAATTAAGGAAAGACATCAGTGTCATTTTAATCTTTTTTTATTTTCTTTATATTCTGATTCTTTTTGTTTTTGTCACCAAAACAAGTTTTCATCATATTGTATACAAGAGGCATCTAATAAAATTATCAATGTTTTTTTTCAACCTGTACATATATTTTTAATTAAAAGAAATCCATGAAACTTCTGATACTCCACCAATCCATAAATTCTTTCTGATTTTTAATATTTTAATGAAAAAAGAGAAATGAAATCTCAACCTGAATGAAAGGACATATCGACATTGAATTAATTTCTTACTTCAGCTGAGATTATCCGTGTCTTTGATGGCAATAACACAATGAAACGACGATTGTATAGGACAATTTCAGTGAATAAAAATGCTCCTGCACAAGTCATCCTGGTAAGTGTTCAAATAAATCTGTTTTTTTTTGTTTTTTTAATATCTATATTACAAGTAAATATGGATCAGTTCTGGAAGAAATACATTTGCATTTATAACTCAAATTTTCTTCTCAATATTTTCCTATTTTTATTTGTGAGAACTTAAGTTTGCTGCTTTTTCTAGAACCAAGAAAATTTTCACTGAATTTTTTTTTATTAAATAGTAAGGCATATTTTCTATTTTACAGACAATCTAGAACAGTTTAAATTTAGTTGTAAATTATTCACATTTTATCCATTTAATATATTTAACCATTTTAATTGAAGATAAGACTTGACATTGCTTGCCTTATGTTATAAAAAATTTCTTTTAACAGTCTTGTTTGAAGAGCAATACAGTTATTTAGAAAAGGTCAGTTTTTGTATTGTTATCCTAAGGCAGAGCATTTTTTTTTTTTGCTTTATAATGCATTAGCTTATAGGATTGCTTCATAACTGAAATAGTTATATATTTCTTGCCAGTGGTCAGTGTTCAAAACTGGGTAAAAAGCAGGATTTTGAAGGCTGATTTTCAAGGCAACCAGTTTTGCTACCTTCCACACCTGAAATATGGGTACAATACAATTTATTCCTTAACTAAGTTTAGTAATTCTACACTTTTTTTAGTTGAAGAAATATTCATGATTGAAAATATAATACTTAGAGTTTTTTTGCTATTCCCTAAATTTTTCATATAACTTTGTTATATTAAATAGAGAAAATTGTATTATTTCTGCCATATTTCTTAATGTCGTCTTTTCATTTTATTTACAGGAGGCAGCCCTTAAAACATTCCACATATCTGATGATCCCAAAAATTACTATGTAACTGAGGCCTCAGAGTATGGTAAGTGATATTCATCTGATAGCAATTAGGTTTGGCACTTTGTTTATAAACTTATATTTCAAGATACAAATGCATGTTCTTGTTCATGCTTCTATACTAGATAAAAAAAAGAAAGAATTATGTAGAAAGAAAGGAAAGTTTTACAATGGTGCCAATAGCTGTCTATTCATTTTCATTTTATGTATTTAAAAAAATTACTTCACAAAATGACAAAATGCTGTTAGGTCATTGTCAAAAAGACAAAATAGAGACTTCAGAATATATTTATAACATTAAAATAACAAGGTGATATAACAATATATAACAAAAATACTCCTTTTTTTAAGAAATGCAAATCATTTGCTTGCTCTTATTCTTGGTGGCTGTAAAAATGAATTAAATTGGTACATACGAAATTTGTAAGTTTTCAGTTCTTGACCATTATCAGTGTTGCTTAATTCAAAAACAAGAACTTATAAGTTAGTCATAAGGCCAGAATATTAGATGTGGCATATTACCCCTGCCCAGTGATATTTTTGATGTTATATGTTACAGAGTTGGAATTTATTTATGCCTTTTGGATACTTACAATTTTTTCCTCTGAAATTTGTCTTTGTTTTTTTTTACAAAATTCAGTTCCTCATCATGGTACAAATAAAAATGAGAAAAGAAAATGAAAATTGATAATAAACATGAACTTAATGAACAATGGAGAAATTAGAAAACTTCATTCTTGCATTTACAAAACCATTTTCAGTTACTCACCAAAAACTCATTAAAATGATTAATCACATGCAGATGAAAGTTGTTGAAATTTGTTATTGGAAATTAAATTTAACGAAATTCCTTTATTAATCCCAAATGCATCTGATATTAATTTCTGTTGATCTTTAGTCTGTGAGCATTTTCCAGAAATCCAAAAATTTGCTCAGAATTATATCTGCCATTTCAGAATTCCATACAAGGCTTTTCAGTGATGAAATATATTAAAAACAAAATGAGATCACAATTGACTTATCAAAATTTAGAGAAGTATCAACTGCTCGAAGGAACTAATTTAACTCCAACCTTTAAAAACCTGGCAAAATCAAAATTGATTAAAAAAAATCTCATAAAGCTAAATAAGTCTTACTTTTTTTTATATTAAATCAATAAATTATATAAACAAGCTAAATAAATTTAAATAAATATATTTCCACTAGTTCATAAGCACTATACAAATATTGTACTCCTATATTAATAAGGGTGAGGGCAGATTTGATTAGCACATGTGAAAAATTGACACTGGGAATGTGTAAGGTTGGCCACTCTTGACTTAAAGAGTTTAATTTTCTTGATTTCTTTCAAATTAATTAAATAATTTAATTTCTTTATATTTCTAATTTCCAAATGTCTGTTTATATGTTAGTTAAACTCAAACATTGTAGCACACCTTATGGCTTATAAACGTTCCTTCATAATCAACCCAAGCAACTTTATCTGATCAAATTTTAGTCATTACATTATCTTTGAAAACCTTCTTTAAAAAAAAAAAAAAAAAACTTGTTTTTTTGTAGGTGAGAAAGAACTTGATGAAAATAGCCCATTTAGACTTCAGCTGAGAACTCCAGACGGAAAGCGACCGTCCATATTTCTCCGTTACAAAGACAAAGACCCAGAAAAGGGATACATTAAAGTATACTCAGGGGGTTTAAAGTAAGTACTGAAAATTGTTTTATTCTATATGAAAATCTTTTCTTATTATTTTCAGACCAGATATAACATGAAGATGCTTTGAAACAAACAAATGTTTCAGAAAGAAAATGGAGGAGTTATACAATCACAAGGTCTGATCAAAAAAATATCAGGGACTCTGGTGCTATAAAAAGAAAACTACAACATATATCAATTCAGCACTTAATCTCTTTCAAAGAAGTCCTCTTCTGAAGCCATGAACTTTATCCAGCATAGTTTCCATTAATGGAAGCATTCCTGAAACTCTCTTTTTGGGATAGCAAGCAGCTGCCTCATTACATTCTCTTGAATTTCTTTGACATCTTGAAATCTTCTTCCTTTTAAGTGGGATTTGATTTTTGAAGAAGAAAAGTTGCAAGGGGTGAGATCAGGGGAATATGGTGGCTGTTAGACCTTGGGAATGTTGTACTTGCCCAAAAACTGCTGCACAAGCCATGTTCACTAGTGGAACTTCTGTGGTGTGCTGAGATGCCCACACTCTACACACGTTCCTTCCAAGTACTGCTATAAACAACAGAAGTGAACAAGAACATTATAATTTAGTGTGCATGATGGACAACAGAGTTGAAGAGTCAATTTGTACCAAGTGGCTTCACTCTACCTACCTTTACCATAGCAACAGTCCCAATACTTTTTTATTAGACCTTGTAAAGGAAAAGTATGAAATATACAGCCAAACAATCAGAGGCCAATGAACCATATATTGAAACTTATTTGTACTTTGATGATTGTAACACATAGAATTAGACAACATATAGGACAAGAACAGTGCAGTTTTAGAACAAGGAAGGTAATATGTTTAGAATGATATCAGAAAGAGCAATGCAAATCAATGTATACCCATGTCTTATGGATTACTCAAGTTTACAGCCATATCATGAAACACTGGTTAACCAATGTCAAGCCTGGTCAGTACCTAGATGGGTGATAGCTTGGCAATACGAGGTGCTGTAATCTTGGATGTGTGAGTGGTGTCATGGATAATGGTCTTGGAATTGGAAATCAGAGAGCTGAGTTCCAATTCCAGTCAGGTTCGTTATATTTACTTACCCTTGGAAAGGTATGAATCCATCCCTTCTACCCACAACTATGGGTTAATTAGTAGGACTTCTTTCAGTAAATCATTATTATCTTCAAAAGATTCTTACAATCTAAAAATATTTTCTGGCTTTAAATAACCTGCAACAGGTTGACAAGCCATAAAAAACAAATCAATCATTCAAATCAAATTAATAAAGATTATGCAAAGGTGTTTGATAAAATACATCCCAAAGAACTGTTTGGTAAGCTTGATTTATTTGGGAAGGATATTAGAATTATCCAGAACTAATACTGGGAGCAAATCTCTTGCATTAGGATAGAAAATAAATTCAGTAAATAGACCAAAATAGAAAATGGCATCAGACAAGGCTGTATCTTCTCACCAGTGAGGTGATCCTGAGAGAATTAGAAGTCCTACAAGAATTCATTATTGGCAGCCACAATTCCAGCTATCTTTAATCTGCAAAAATTTAAATGCAATCTCAATCACTATCTACTGTCCTCCTGATCACTTTTTTCTCTTCCCATTCATTATTAGTGTTTCTGTTCCTAATTCTTCCACACCCTGTAACCCCTTCTGTCTTGAATGGGGTAATACCAATTAAAAAAAAAAGATATGCAGATGACACTGTGTTGAAAGTAGACACAGAAAGTCAACTACAGGAACTCTGACAGAAGGTAGTGAAGGAAAGTGAGAAGAAAGGACTAAATGCCATCAATTTTAAGAAGACAGAATATATGGTTGTCAGCAAAAAGAAGAGCCCAACATGCAAACTATAAATTGGAAATCTCAAAATCAAGCAAATACAGAAATTTAAATATCTGGGAAGTGTTTTGACAGAAAATGGGATAGGGAAATCTGAAAACAAAAGAATCAGAAAGAGACAATTGAAATTTCTAGGGCAGATGATGAGGAAAGAGGGCTTGGAGAATTTGACACTGACAGGAAATATTGAAAACAAGAGGGACAAATGAAAGCATGGGATAACATACCTAACGAGCTTGTGTAACTGGTTGGAAGAACAGGGATTAGGAGGGATAGCAAAAATACAAACCTTACTTAGAGATATAAATGATAGGATGCTGTGGAGAGCCATGATTGCCCAAGTCCTGAAGGGAGATGACACATAGAAGGAGAAGCAGAAAGAAACACTGCAACAGATTTAGTCAAAGATTAATTTACAAATACTGGAAATAAACTAAAAAAATAATGACTACACATTTCTTATCTAATTACAATTAGATGAGAAATGTGTACAGTTATTATTTTTTTGGTGGGGTATTTTTTTCTGGACACATTGTCTTTTCTAATTATTTATTAATTTTTACATTTGATCTTTATTTATTTGCTAATTGAGTTAATTAGTGGCAGAATATAATTAAAAATATTCCCCATTAATTAAATACCTTAATTACTAAAAGAAGATTTGTTAACACTGCATAAATAAGTGAAAATCTCCAAGCAATTTCTTTCTTTTTTCTTTTCTGTTATTGTTTTGATTTATGCCAAAGTAAGATTCACACTGATTCTTCCTACACAATTTCCAGTCAATAATCTTTTACTAATACATCATGGAAATTATCACAAAGAAGTTTTATATTTTTGTGTTTATCACACACACACACACACACACACACACACACACACACACACACACACACACACACACACACACAGATTTATGAGATATTAATGCTACCCAAAAACTTAGAATGCAAATTTTCAAGCCTTTGATACATTTTCTTAATATATTGAAAGCTTTGTAAAGTATAAATTGAATTAAAAATTATATAAAAAAAATTTATACATTTAAGATTTCTATTTACATTGTTCAAACTGGTTGTCCTCATCTTTATTGTCATATTCACAATATTCCAACTGCTGTATGCTCCAGCTTTCTTCAGGTGTTATACATTGGAATTTTTGACTAAACCCTTTATTTAGTCTGTAGGGGTGGATTGTTCTGGTTCCCCAAGGACACATAGCCCAGTGGTTGAAGTAATCCATTGACTTGACCCAATGAGTTGTGAATTTCAATACCTGACCACAACAGAGGTGAACAAAAACTTGAGTTACTAAAAGGGACATAACTGAAACTGAGATATCCAGAAAACAGCTTGGCATGTGGAACTAGAACAGTCTATCCCTGTAGACTAAATAAAGGGTTCAGTTTTCAATTTTTTTCCAATGTATATCACCTGAAGAAGGCTGGGGCATACAACAGCTGAAACATTGTGAATACAACAATAAAGATGAGGACAACAGTCCAAACAATGTGAATAGTGTAAATAGTTACAATACCTCATCACAGAAATATAGACAGATCTAAGATTTCATTATAAAATCTATTGACTTCTCCAATAAATGCCTTTGATTTGTACTTTGGAGAACAATTTGAATTGGCTATTAATGTTTCCAAAATGAAATGACCTGAGGAAAAACATCTTTACAAAATCAACTATTTTTTAAAAACTGCCTAACTCTTAGAAGGAAAATGAAAACAGTACTAGATTGGCAGCAAGGTCACATCATTTTACAGGTGAAATGGCTAGATGTAACTTTAAGCTCTTTGCTAACAGTTTCTTCTATCGACATCTTTCTTGTGGAACACTTTTCCAGCTTCTTACATTCCTGTCAACTTTGATCTTCAAAAATTTAAATTGTTATCTCTTGTTTTCTTAATTCCTCTTTTATTGTTCTCTCTCCTTAATAATGTTTTTCTTTTTCTCATGTTCTCTCACATTCAGTAACCCTTTGCGTTTTAGTGGGTTATTGCCTTGCTGGGGGTGAAAAAGAAATTGTGAATCATTATTTCAACGTCTATCTAGAATCAGCAGATATGGAAAAATCCTTACACATTCTTTCAAATCCGTTAGTAATTCTTTCCTGAATTTATTTTTCAAATGTAATATTCCAGCATTATCATTGGGAAAGTTGTTTTATCAGGGAAGGTAACTCAAAAAGATTAATACAATTGTTTCCCTTGTGAAGCTCCTTTTAATCACTAAAATAGTATTACACTTACACACACGTATTTCTTTATATCTTCTATGTGCCATATCCCTTCTGGATGTTAGCAATCATGGCTCTCCTCAATTTCCTTTTTAGTTCTTAATAACTTTTTTGTCAAGTATTCTGGGAAATTTTGTGCATGTAAACATTCAGATAAATATTTAAAATGTATTTATTGAGTTTCTCATGCAAGTAAATAATTATTTAAAGTTTTTTTTCATTAGCTATGTTGTTATCTGTATTAAAATGTCATAATAAGTGGCGCAACCACTCGAATCCGAAGATGCCAGTCTACTAGGGCGGCTAGCTAATCCCCATTGCAGACGCCTGCTCAGGCACAATTGTGTTTGTTCAGCACCCACAGAGCCCACCTGTGGTTTATACTGCAACTATGCTGAGCAGACTTTAGTTACAGATTTTGGAAGAGAGTGTGTTATCTGACATGATCAAAAGTCTGAACAAAGTTAGTCTCTCAAACCATCAGTCACGATGACTTGTGTCTTTGTGCTAGCACAACCACTGACGACCACCAAGGGTTGCATCTACTCACAAGGCTTGAGTCAACCGATGGTATGGGTTTCAGGCACCGCATTTTCCAAAGGTGCCACATGCTGGGATTGCCTCCTCCAGATCGATAACATTAAGAAGACACTTTCCTGATGAGATTCAAACCCAGGTCTCATGGTCAGAAAGTAAACATTCTAACCACTCAGCCACATGCCCAATTATAATAATAGAATATGGATAATACATACAATATATATATAACGATTTATTTTTTCAGTGGGATAGAAGTATAGACTCTTTTATATTGAGGAATCCATGTGCACCTTTTTTTGTAAAATTTGTGTGAACAGAATAAATATCTGAAATGTTTTGTCTTATTTTAGAGTGTCTGTAGGAAGCAAGTTTGTTCCTATAAACAAAGATACAACAACAGACATGGTGATAAGGACAGCTCTTAGGAAATTTGGTTTAGAGGTAAGTATCAAAACATAACACCCAGTTCTCATTACACTATTAGAAAATAACTCACATTTACAAATTTTTTTTTTCCTACAAATTATATATTTGTAAATAAAACACAAAATCTTTTACTGTTGATGAAAATTCATTTATTGTTTACTTCATTTAAAAATTTTGATAGGGACTCTTTTATAAACATGCGCTCAGTTTTTGTGCTACAGTGAAGTAAATAGAAAGCTTCATATTCTCTTTTTAAAAATATTTTTTCCTTCAAATTAAATGTTTGCTTATTTTTTTTTCACCAGAAAAACCCTGAAAAATATAATTTAGTTGAAGTTTTGCTTGACAAAGGAGTAGCAGAGAGAATGCTAGATCGAGAAGAACGTCCTTGGGAACTTATTCAGCAAGCCCGTAAAGTGAGTTACTTTTTCATATATATTTGTATAATCATTTTTCTCTTAGAAAACTGTTACTTTCTGTTATAAATATACATTTAGGTAATAATCAAACCTGTGCTTGGATTCAACAGAAAATTTTTATAAAGTTTATGAATTAACTGTTTATTTTAACAATATATTCAAGTTATTTTTCTATAAATAAAATGATTTAATTTCTTTTTAAAATGTTTTATCATAAGTAGTACCAAATGAATTTCTACATGAAGCTGAGTTTTGTGTTTAGTTTATAACAATTTTCTAGAATTTTGCTTTCATTTCTTCACAAGAAATCTTAAGATATTTTTTATTACATAAAGCCCTTAAAACCCCTTTTTCTTTTCTTTTTTACACGAATCCTTTAAAAATCAATTGTTTTAATATATAACCAGATTTGGATAAGAGAATTGGAATTATTTGTAAATGAAAAAAACACTTTTAATTTTGATCGTCCTTATATTGTTCTTCTTGATATTTTTTGTTTCACATCACATTATAAACGTCCCACTTCAGTGAATTGTATAATTTAATTATATTTTTTTTTCTGTTACACTCATAGAATAAGGGAACAATGAGTTTTTGTTTTTCAAAAATTTTTTTTTTTTACTGAAATTATGAATAAAACTACCCAAGCCACCAAGTTTTAATTATTTTAAGTGATGTTAGGTATATGAGAATAAAGTAGACATAACATTAGTCTACATTGAAAGTTGTTAAGTATAAGTTGTTTACATTCTATATTAGAAATTTTAGTACCATTCAGATAAGCACAGTTTTACTAACAAAAGCAGTTACTAAGATTTCAGGTGTGGCTTTTGAAAGCATTTTTACTGAGATGATGACAAATTTTCTTTTTAAATATTTTCTTTTATTGTAATTGATTTTTTAAAAAGTTATTTTTCTGTCAATTTTTGTTTTTGCCTGTCTTTTTATCATGAAAAAATTGTTCCAATTTTAGGAGAAACATTATTTTATCCTAATAAATGATGAAATCTGAAATGTGTTCTTCATAATTTTAGATATTTACTTGAAATAAAGTTTCATGGTCTTTTATTTATTTATTACTATTCCCCAGGATTCCCTTCGGCAAAATCGGATGACTCGATTCTACATTCAACAAATTGAAGACCCCCATGGACCTAGTATTTCCTTGTTTGTTGGTAATTTACCAAGCAGTCTGTCTCAACGCCAATATGAGAAAATTCTTCTTGACATCATCGGCCCACGTACATTTTTCAACTTTTTTCTTGCTTTTCTCTTGCTATTTATCATTTTAAAATTTTGTATTAAATTTATTCTTGCATAAATTATTATTATTTTTCTTTTTGTTTTACTCACTCAACCTGACCTGAAATTTTTTTAATAATATTTAAAATAAATCCTTTTGATAGTTATATGTAGTTAATTATTTTTCTCTTTTATTCAGAAAACAAGTGGCATTCATTTGATGTGATCTACTATGAATATGGTGCCCTGGTTCTCATTTATAACACAGCAGAGAAAGCTAGCCGTTCATTCCACATCTTAAGGGATACAGTCTTTGATGATAAACAGTTGTTGGCAATGTTACTGCCAAATATTCAGGTACGGTTAGTCATGAAATGCTTCTTTTAAAATTACTATCCACGTCCCTACACACAATCTGCCAATCTGCCACTGGGTGGCATGCTACTAATGTTTACCACTGGTGGCCTGCTGTCAGACCACCAGCATGTTCCTCTTGGCAATGTTACAACTGGCGGGCCACTAGAGGCCCACTGGTGGCTCGCCGATGGCTGCCACCAAAAGACTGCTGGTGATGCCATCGGTGGCCCATCAGCGACTTAAATGTAGGAATTTTGTCAATTTTACAGTCTTTATCAATCTGCTTTTTCATAAAAGAAACAAGACTTTCTTTTATTAAACAAATTTATCAGTTATTTTATATTAAGCCGTTTTTTTCTGTTACACTTATAGAATATGGGAACAATGAGTTTTTGTTCTGTATTAAGTATTCAGAAAATACTCACTTACCTTATAAAAGGCTGAAGACATGTGCTTGCTGACACCATTTGCAAGGAAGGAAGTCTCCATTATAAAGCTGAGGTCAATTCATTCTCTCACATATAACAGTAAAGTTTGAGAAAAATAGATGGATTTACCACTTAGAGGTTTTCTATATATGCATTCTAACTGGTATATAGTCAGTGACAAGAAATGAATGTGACAGAAATGGTGAAGAAACAAAGTTAGCAGTGACAGTACAACCCTGTGAAATGTTTGCTGTAGAGTATAAAAAAGTTAGGAAGGAAACCCTCATCAATACTTGAAAGAGCAATAACAACTACTGGATTTGAGAAACCTATTTCCCTGAAAAATTATTTCAAGAGAAAGATTTTATAAATTTCAACCAACTTCAGTAGTGGCTTCTTGGTCAATGGATGCTAAATGTTTCCTTATAAGGAAACAGCTAACATTACCATTACCATTACCATTTATTATGGGAGAAACTTTATATACTATTGAGATCTCACCCTGTCGTAGATTAAACTGTGTCATTTTGTTTGAATTTACTTCCACTAATACTACACTAGCATTTATTAAATCTTTATTTTAGTAAACATTTAATATCTAAATGTTTACTAAAATAAAGATTTTTTATATATATAATTTAGTTCTGTTAAACATTTCTAATTTGTGAAAATGATATAAAATATGTGTACACAAAGCAGGAAATAATGAAAATGAAAACACATATAATCAAAATAATTTACTTTTAACAGCTCCTGATAACTTCCATTCTCTAATTTTAAATAAGTTGTATTCACCTCTGTCTATTTTAGCCACATATGATCCCTGATAATGGAGTGCAGCCATTATTAGTATTTGTCAATGTGAAGAGTGGTGGTTGTCAAGGGACAGAACTCATCACTTCTTTCCGTAAACTTCTGAACCCACATCAGGTCTTTAACTTGGAAGCGGGTGGCCCTCTACCTGGGTAAGTCAATTATATATACCTGACTCTAGAATTAGTGTAAAGGAAAGTTTTTGTAGCTTTATTCTTTTACAACTGAAATTCTCTATAAGCAGAATCATAATTTTAATTTTCTGTCTTGATAGACCAAATGTACATTTAATTTTTAATGAGAATATAACAATCTCTATATTACATTTTCAATTGTTATTGACCACACTTAACATTTTTTACAATTTAGATTGTTTCTATTTTGTAAGTGTAGTTATTTTTGTATATTTATTATTTGCACTTTATAGACTTTCCTTTCAGACTTGGCCTAAATTAGAAACAAAAGTGGATATGAATAAATTATGACATGATGTTTAACACTTGTATTATGTCAATTCAAATCAATACAAATTAAAGACTCTTTGCATTATCAAAAACATGATGATATCATTAATAGTTATTGGGATTTTTGTCTTTAAATTTCAGATTGTATGTTTTCCGAAATGTATCCTATTATAAAATCTTAGTTTGTGGTGGAGATGGTACTGTTGGCTGGGTTCTTTCTTGCTTAGATAATGTATGCCAAGATGCTGTGTGTCAGTCTCCACCATTAGCCATCATTCCTTTGGGAACGGGTAAGTATTTTCATTTAAATTCATTGTGCAGACTTTTCACATAACAACAATCTCGCATTTTTCTGTTTCAAGTTAAAATAACACATATATTAAAAATATACAATCAGAAAATCTCATTGTTAATTTCATAAAGATCTTCGTTAATTTCTTTCATTTAAATGAAGTTAAAAATTAATGATAATGAGAAAATGAACCTGAAGATATTACATTGTTATATTCCGTGCTAATAGGAATATATACTTGACAAACATGGTGGATAAAATAAGTAAAGGTTTATTGTAAAACCAGTACAATAAGAAATAAGGTAATAGTTATGCACAAGGTCGTCGCAGGTCAATCTAGTAGTAAGTGCTACTATTGGAAGGTTGGTAGTTCTCACGTAAGTCTGAGTCATACTCAACAGATCCCAGCTAGACTCTGTAGTCTGTTGACTTACAGATACTTATAGGTAGTTACTACCTATAGTCTAGTCACTCATGGGGGTGACAGGTTAATCATTACATCATACATACTAATAGGTTATATATAATTTATTTCCTATTGGTTATAAGTAGTTTATTTCTTTTTAGTTATAAATAATTTGTTTCCTATTGATTGATTATAAATAGTTTATTTTGTATTGGTTGATTATATATAGCTTTTTTCCTATTGGTTATAAGTAGTTTATTTCCTATTGGTTATAGATAATTTATTCCTTACCTGTTATGAAGAATTTATTTCCTGTTGATTGGTTATCAATAATTACCTATGTCAGTTTTAATTGCTATATTACAGTACAGCACAAAAACTTATTTGATATTTATTCTTTTTTGTATTTAAATGTTGTTTTTTTTTTTTTTCTTTCAGGAAATGATTTAGCTCGAGTTTTACGTTGGGGGCCTGGTTATACAGGGGGTGAAGATCCCCTCAATTTATTAAGAGATGTTATAGATGCTGAGGAAATCAAGCTAGACAGGTGGACTGTAATTTTTCACCCCAATGAAAAAGAAATGCCTGATGAAACGAAAGTGGCAATAGCAAATGATACTAATTCTGCTAACACTAATGAAGACAATACGACAATGTTTGTGATGAACAATTATTTCGGCATTGGTATAGATGCCGACCTCTGCTTAGACTTTCACATGGCACGTGAAGAGAAACCTGACAAATTCAATAGTCGGTAAGATCAGTGTTTTTCATTTCAAAGAAAAATATTTTATAGTTTTTGCCTGAGATTTTCAGGTGATTTAAATTTTCAATGTATTTATTTATTTATACATTTTATTTTGTTGTCTTTTTTCTTAACAATATTAAATATATTTTGAAAATAAAAGAGAGGAATTCTTCAAACAATATAATTATCTGAAAAATAGGTGCCTCCAAAAACTTTCTAAAAAAAAGAGCATAGCATGATGAAAAAGGCCCAAAATTTTATGAAAACAAAGTTTTATTGTCAAAATGTTTGTTATTATTAAGAAGAAAGGCCAAAGTAATTTTTATTATTTTGTTAAATTTTTTAATCCTTTCTAGTACATTCAAAACTTTGGTTAAAAATCTTGTTTTTTGGCATTAGTGAGTGGGCCAAAGGTTAGTATGGCAAATTTAGCATCTTTTTTGCAGTAAAAAACATTGTTTTGAAAATTCTTGCAAAAAATAAATAATTGTTAGACTTTAATTAAATTTTCAGGACTTTAATTTATTTCCTAGAATTTATTATTGGTGAGCATGATATGAACAATATAAGATATGCAGGTGTTGACTGATACAGAAAGAAAACTCTAGGACCTCTTTGACTGGGTAGTAAAAGAAAGTGAGAAGAAAGGACTAATCATCAGCTACAAGAAGACAGAAAGTATAGTCATCAGCAAGAGGAAAAGCAAAAGATGCGAGGTATAAATGGGAGATGTCAACATCAAAACAGGTGCAGTGTTTTAATAGAGGAAACAAAGAAAAGACTGCTGGATTGCTATGTGGTATCCTTCCTCTTATATAGCAATGAATGGTTGAATAATCTCCCTAAGGACGAGGAAAAAGAAATGTGGTTCTCCAGAAGGATACTGAAAATTCTATGGACAGTGCGAGTAAGCAACAAGGAATCCTTAAAGAAAATGGCAACAAAAAGAACACTTCTACACAAAATCAGGAAAAGACAGCTGTAGATTCTTTGGAGACATAATGAGGAAGGAGGGCTTGGAACCTTACATGGCAAAAGAGATAGTGGAAGGCAGTTTGAGAGATAATAGAAGATAGTGTAAGTGGATGGCAGAATGGAGCAGCAGAGGGCTTAGCAAAGGGAGGAAGACTGCTAAGAGTTGCACAAGATAGAAAGTTGTGGAGAGCCATGATTACCTATGTCCTGAAGGAACATGGCACATAGAAGAAGTAGTATTAAACATATTCTGCTGTGCCTCTTTAGAGTGTACATTTATGAAACAAGTTGGGTTTTTATTTGTTTTACTTTGTAAATATTAAAAATTAATTATTCTTACATAAACGTATCATTGTTTTCTTTGTAGTCTACATAATAAAGGAGTTTATTTCAAGATGGGTCTTCGGAAAATGGTAAATAAGAAAGCATGCAAAGACTTGCATCGTTGCATCAAATTAGAAGTGGACGGCAAACTGATCGACCTCCCACAAGTGGAGGGCATTATCATTTTGAACATTCTTAGGTAAGGGTTTTTTAAATAATTATTTTCTCTTTATTGGATTAATAATGTTGGGATGAGAATCTTTTTTGTTTTTTCTTACATTTCTCATTTACTAAAGCTAAATTTAAAATATATATCATCCATAATTAAAATAATTTATAAGTTTTTGTTTCTCATCAAAATTGAAACAAATGTATAAATTCTATTATTTACTCTTGATAATTTTTTAACATATTGTCAAGTAAATTGCACTAAAAATAGTTTATTCTAAGATATACTAAAAATATGTTCTATCTAATGAAGATGTAAATTCTAGTATCTAATAAAGACCTCATATGCATTTATATAACGTTGAAAACTGAATATTACACATTACTATAATATGGCAAATTTGAAATGAAATCTCTAAAGAGTTCTTATTGTTTAAAGAATAATCTCTTTTTTTATTGGTTATAGTTGGGGCTCTGGGGCCAACCCATGGGGTCCAGAAAAAGAGGACTCATTTAACAAGCCTACACACTATGATGGTATGCTGGAAGTAGTGGGTGTCACAGGTGTGGTGCATATGGGCCAGATACAGAGTGGACTACGCAATGGCATCAGGATTGCTCAGGGTGGACATGTAAGGGTTATGTTTATTTTTTGCAGTAATTATTTTCTTTCTCTCCATTTTAATTTATTATTTTTTTCATTTTCCAAATATATTTTGTCTAATTGAAATCTTTTTCTTTTCAGTTACGAATCACACTTTTAACAGATCTACCTGTACAGGTTGATGGGGAACCTTGGATTCAGCCGGCTGGACAAGTTATGGTACTACGTTCAGCTCTTAAGGTAGGTTAGACTAAATCTTTGCTTTCATCTTTAATTATACTAATGTTGTCCCAATACAAGCCCCAAGAGCTACTCAAAGTAGAGGATTACTGTGTGATGTTGTATGAACATAAGAAACAGTAAGTAGTGAAGTTCATGGGGATTATACAGGGAAGATAACGGTTAACCTTAGACTAGAAGAGGAGGTCAAAGATTGAAGTGTTTGGGAAAACATCCTGCCATATCTATTCCACAGAGGATTTAGCAGTTAATTGGGAAGAAGCTGTCCAAATTAAACTTACTTCTTACTAATGGAATATGGAGGGGATGGTGATTATTCATATTTGTATATGTGGCAAGGTGGGTCCCAGTTGTAAAGGTTAGGGGTAGTGGGATTAAGGAATGTAGCTTGTCAGGATACATAACATGGATATAATGATAAAGCAGCAACATACTCACAACATTTCGTCTTTGGGGAAGGGCTTTAGGACAGAAACTCTATCAAGACAGGCAAGTGAAGACTGGGAAACTCCAACCCAGAGTAAGTTGTTTGTTTTTCAAATTGTAGATAATATTTTTGGTAGGTTTCTGAATCTGTTGCTTTGAAAAAAAGATCTAAATGTATAATATTTCATTCAAAAAAGAAACTGGTCAATAAAATCTGGTATTGGCATAATCCTTTGGGGGCCATTTCCTGTCCACTGCCAAGCAGCTGGCATACCACACAGTGATGCAGTATGCCAGCACATTCTCAAGAGAGCCAATTGAAAGTGCACTTGTGTACCATTGATAGCTTCCTTGTCTCTTGTGTCTTTGCATATAAAATTTTGCTTTGTAATGCCATACTTGGCCATAAATTTGCTATAGATTTTATATTCTTATGGCAATGGATTTCAAAGAAAATTAGACTAACATTCCCTGGTATTTGGTTTTTCAATAATCTGAAAATATAAGTAGTTATTTAGACAAATAACCTCTGCTTAATCACATATTTTGCATGTAAACAATATATTGATATGATACATTAAACTAACAAGTAATTGATTATGATATTTATTCCTCACTCAGTGCTTAACTTGGCCTTGGACTAAATTTCACTTAAGCTAGCATTTAGCTAAATATAAATTACCAGGCTTCATTTTGGATAAATAAATGTTGTTCTTTAACCCTTTAGTATTCAACACGCTCAAACCTACTCCATAAATATCAACTTTCAAAGTCTTACTGCTTGCATGACTTCCTGCATTATTTGTGATTATGTCGTCATATATTATGCTAGAATATACATGGTGCAGGTTGAACATTGAGAGCCAATATTTATGTGATGGATTTGGGTTAGGGTCAATACTAAAGAGTTAAGCAAAGAGCATCATGGATAAATTCTAGTGAAGATTGAAGTGGTCATTCAATTAAATGCTTCAGCTTCATGAAAAGTTGCCATTGCACAAATTTGATTTCTGATATGCATAGTTATTCAGATGAAAAAAACAATTTGAACATAAATAAGATTTTGGGGAAAAACTCAAAGAAATTCTAAATTCTTTGAAGTTACTGCTTCCTATACTCATCAATGATGTACCATGAAAAATAAATGTTGGGAATTTGATGAAAATTAGTCAGCTAATATTTGATTCTATTCTTAAGTTCTTTCAAGTTAAAAAAAAAACAAACTTTTAATAAATTAACTAAATTCTAAATAGACTAACTAAACTTTTAAATGCACCTCTCATGTTATAAACATGTGTATGGGTAACGTAAGAGAACAAATGAAATTCACCCTGCCAGAATATGCTGACTGCACCTCTGTAGAGGGGTAAACCCCATCCAATGAGGCCACCTGTTTGTCATGAGTGGCGATCTATAATGTCTAAGAATGGGATCCTGATGGCTTCAGGAGTCATGGTTAGATACTTCAGATTCCCAACACACCACTTTTGGCACTTATTTGAGAGGTGGTCAGAGAGGCCCGATCCAATCAATTGGCTGGTCATGTCAAGCCTATAATGATATCAATTTATGGAGTAGTTTATAACAAAATACAATACCCCAAATATACACCGGGATAAAATACCATCTCTCTCCAATTTATAGGCATTAAAAGGTAATGATCAAAAGAGATTTGGAGTTAGACATGACTGTAAACATAAGATTTGTGAAGTGCAACAAAATGGTTTAACAGGTGCTCAGAGTCTCTCTCAAATATAAGTATAATGGTTTGTGTAGCCCTGACCTTTCAAGGTGAATGGGTTTCTCCCTTGGCAAGTCACAATATCAGGCTCCAAAGTGGATGAGAAGGAAGTGAATTTTACTACATAAAAATTATAAATAAGCAAAAAAAGAAATCTAAACAATATCTTTCAGACTGTGATTGTGAAAAAGAAATGAATATTGACTTTCCAAGATTTCTCATGTTTGCATCCCTAGATGAAGCAATAGAATTCAATAGAAGCATAGAATTGTCTCTGGCCACACATGAAGAAATTATATCTGTCTTAGGAAGCTAGGGGATCAGTGATTACCATAGAATCACAATAACAAGAAAAGGAGCAATCAAAACAGACACATATATCCTTATGTTTATCACACTTCAAATCCCTAGAAAAATAAAAGTTGGGTACAATATTGAGCCAGTGTAACAATATATTCCTACTCAACTAAGGTGCTTCAATTGCCAAAAATTTGGATATCATAAACTGCAGGAGTTGTCCAGCATGTGGAAAATGTGACCAAAGGGATTCAGACCACGTGGAAGAAGAATGTCACTCTGAAGTAAGAGATGTGCTAACTGCCAGGAAAACCATCCAGCATACTTATGATCATGTGACTTCTGAAAAAGGGAAATGGAGAAAGTTGAGGTGAAACATAAAACAAAATGTCTCATTCATGGAAGCAAGGCAAATAGTATAAAGCTACATGAAAGGACCTTCCTATGCAAAAAATAATGCAAGGAGCACAATGAATACCACTTGACAAATACAGAACCCTCATTGAGAAGCTTGTACACTTAGGACCAAATGACTGGCTCAAATTTCAAAAATACCTAAAAAATATATACTCTAAGAAAATAGTACAAACTGAATCACAAAAGAAAAAATTGAAATAATAAATAAAGGAAAAGCAAATACAAAATCTATCACTCAAACACAAAGCACCTCTGCAAAAAATACAAAATCTCCTACAAAGCAAAGGTCACAGTGTTCTCCTATCCTTCCACCAAAGACCAATAAAGATAGACTTAAGAACTTATCTTCCAAAAAACAGAACCACCAAACAAAAACCAGAAATTCACAGTGACCAAATTCCTACCCAAAATCGATAAACTGAAAGAAATGGAGCCAGAACCCACAAACGGCTAAAACCTCCAAACTTAAATCACACCTATTTACTAAGCTAAAGTCTGTAAGCATTTAGCAATCATGTATTAAATAATCCAGTGGAACTATCATGGGATAAAGGCAAATAAATGAACTGCTTCTGATAATAACAAACCTGTCACTGGCAGTTGTTTGCCTTCAGGAAACATTCCTTAAGCAAAATAACAAATTGAATATAAAAGAATGCCATCAATACAAAAGTAAAATAAATTTAACAACTATTTTACAAGCTACTGCTATTAAAGTGATCTTACACAGGCCAATAAACATCTGTTCAGTATATATCCCACCAAATGAACATCTGTTCAGTATATATCCCACCAAATGAACATCTGTTCAGTATATATCCCACCAAATGAACCAGTAAATGAAGCTGGAATTCCTGAAATCATAAGGCAAATGTCTGAACCCTTTTATGATACTAGGGGACTTTAACTGTCACAGCACCAAATGGGGTTGTAAAGACACAAACCAAAAGAGAACAGAATGGAGAGCAGATTGATAAACATTACAAACAATAATTAATGACAGTGATTTATACATTTATTATGATAAAACATCAATTTATATGGATTTCTCTTGAAAGGTACTGGCAGACATATGTTGTACTTGCCAATCATTCTACAAAACCCAGAACATAATGACAAAAATCCTCTCCATTGGAAATTAGGCAGAGCGAACTAGGGAAGAATTTAAAATCCAATATTCTGAATAACTAATTGAAGGAAAAACTATCAAGGACTTAAAATATTTCATGGAAATCCTCAACTCTATAGCTAAAAAATGCATTCCAAAAAATTCAGCACCAAAAAATACGCAACAGACCGTGGCTCAATGATGAATGTAAAAAGGCCATTAGGCTAAAAAGAGCAGCTCTTAAAGAATTCAACAAACAACCTTACAACCCCTAATTTGCTGCAATTTAAGCAACTCCAAGCAAATGCACAGAAAATAATTAAAGAAACCAAAAAAGAATGCTGGAAAACTATGTCAACAGACTCAATTCTGCTACAAAAAATATCTATCTGGAGTATGATAAAGAAAATAGCAGGCAAATATTAAACAAACACTGTAAAACACTGCTCAATAAATAACTCTAAAATAACTAGTAAAAAGAATATTGCTGAACAAATAGCCAAAACAATCTCTAAAAATTGATCTGCCAAAAATGGTAGCCAACAATTTTTAAAGTTCAAACAAAAAGTGGAAAAACAAAAACTAAATCAAATAATGCCAAAAGCTATAACCTACCATTCACTCTAGGGGAACTAAATGAGTCTTTAAAGAAAGCCCACAATATAGCTGTGCGCCCAAATGATATTCATTATGAATTCATAAAACAGTTACCCAATAAATCATTACAACTGTTATAAAAAATGTCTTCCCAGAAATGTGGAGACAGTCATTCATCATCCCTATTCCAAAACCTGGAAAGGATGACACAGACCCTGAAAAATACAGATTGATAACATTAACCTATGTAAAACTATGGAGAGAATGGCCAACAATAAATTGACTTGGTATCTGGCAACTAAAGGCTTAATCAGAGACTTCCAATGTGCTTTTAGGAAAAACAAGAAGCACTATGGACCACTTAATATGCCTAGAGACTTTTGTAAGGAAAGCCTTCATTAAGAAGGAAAATCT